CCCTTGTAAAACTCTTTGCATTATATTAACCAGATGAGTCCTTCCAAAAAATGTTATCTTGATAATGGATGAAGTGCAGCAAGTCAAGTAAGTCCATGTCAGCGGGAGGGAGCAAACACCAGTGTCTTGCTGGAAAGCAGAGCAGTTCTGGATGCTGTCAGGAATTCCTAATGTTAAAATAGATGGTGTCAATGATGGTGATTTTGGTGTCCAGTATAGGGCTTTGAGTGAACCCAAAACATTGAAAATTCATTTGGTAGAGCTGGTAAACGGCTGCTATGCTACCTAAAATTAAAAGGAAATGTGCCTTTCTTACTGATAGGGGAGATAATCTCTCCCTCTGTGTCCCCTGATCGTTCCCCGCCTTCCTCCTGCAGCTGCTTTATGGAAACAAATGATTATTTTTGCATGGAGATTATCCATCTGAGTATGCTAGGGAGTTTTGGGGAGAGCAGGGACTCAACTTTCATGGCTCTGTTGGATGAAGGCATCAAAGTCACCTTCTAACTCAGTCCCGAGGGGCTGGGAATCCTGACTCCATTGGTGGGGTATGGGCAGAGTGCATCATGGGAAAGGAGGCCAAAGTAGCCTTGTGGGTGGGGCCGGCTCAGTGTCCTGCTGTTATGTCTACATCTGAATGTAGTAAAATTTGATGTGTGAAGTGATTGTAATTCAGAGGGGATCATTTCAGTCAGGAAGAGCTGCATGTAGTGAAACAAACATACCTTTTGGGGTCCCCAAATCCTTTTGACCTTTTTAAGCTGCATGTCTCTGTGACAAGTAATTTTGCAAATTAGATCTTCTAACAAAGTCAGGCAGCCTCCATCTGGAGGTGCTGCTTGGGGCTTTAGACCCCTCACTGCTCTGACAGAAACCAGGTATCTTTTAAAAATCAGCAATTAGCTTTCTGTTGAGCTCTTATTGAAACTGGACACCTGAGTCATGGAGGTCAGTGACTCTCCAGCCTGTTTCCGTTTTGTGGCGGTCAGCTTGGACTCAATGACTAACAAGGTGGGACAGTCTCAACAGGCCTCACTAATCAAATGAAAATGGTATATTCAAGAAAGTGGCCAGCCTGTCCCTAGTGCAGTCTCAGCTTTACATAAAAGTAGCACTTGGCCTCAGCTGCCCACTCCACTGCCTAAAACAAAGCTGCTGCTTCAATGGGCCCATTCTGCTCACAGTGTTTTCCTGTCACCTGGGCCCAGCTGGATGACGTTTTGTCCAAACTGAAACCTGATGATGTCCACTGGGCTGCTGCAATTGTACAACCTCCACAACAGCTGAAAATGGATGTGATTCTCTACTCACTCAGCACAACTTGAGGCCATGCCTGTGTTTTTACTGAATCTTGGGTTGTGTTCAGTGGCTTAGCTTACTTGTCTGCCATTTGGAAAAGTACAGACTGATAGATTCAAAACCCCTTTTTGGGGGGCTGTGAACTGTGGCCCCAAATCCCAGCTGCGGATGTGATCATCCGTGGCCCATCCCCTGATGAGGCCCACAGGAATCAAGCTGATGGAGGCTGCTGGTCGAGCCTCCATCACATGGATTGCCACCATTGCAGGCTGGGTGCATCCTAGCCATGAACAAGGAACATGCGCAATAGACACAAAGTCAACAGCTCTTAGTAGTGATGCAGAGGGCACTGCTGTGTAGGGTTTATTTAGGAGACTTTGGAGGACGGCAGGTGGCTGACGGCAATACTGCAGGCTGGCTTTGTCCTTCTACTTTGAGTTCTGTTGAGAGTAGCTTTAATTAAATGTTTTATGAGAAAAGTTGAACAGATTTGGTCCTGACCTCTGTTCATCAAATCAGTCAAAGGGGCCAACAGAATGGCCTACTACTTGGGTAAATTTGCCATACAAGATGGTATAAAAATAAAGAATGGGTAATATTAGGAAATAATTCTCCATGGGTATCTTGAATTTCTGTGTCTGGCAAGCAGAGTCACAATTGCCTTTGTTCCAGACTATATTTTCACGAATTTTTGTGTGGAGAACAACTTTGGATGACAACAATAGTGCTTCCTTCTAGACTAAAGGCTAAGTGTGGAAAGCTTTGGATGATAGAGATAGTGTCTTCCTCCAAAGCAAAAGGCACGCATGCTCATAGTCAAGCATACTATACATAACATCTACCTCTGGTGCCAAGGGAAGATATACTTACTGCCTATTCCCAAAGGTTCAGGTTCTTTATTTTGGGGACTCTTTATGTAAGCAACCCATTGCCTGTGCAAGCATTGCATGGTTCTCTTTGCTTCTCCCTATAGGAGTTGGGGCTTGGGGAAGCAGCACAAATCCTGGTGCTCTAGTTACTGCTATTACTGTGATTAAGAAGCTGTTTTTATTCTCTGACCCAGGAGTCTTGGCCTTTCACCTGGTCTGTGGCAGGCTCACTTGTTAACCTACAAGTAGGCTAAAATACAGAACTGTCACCATTCTTCACAGCAGAGAAGCTTTAAAAGCTACATCTCTCACTTCAGTGGTCTAAAAGAGTTGACATTTATTTTTGTCCATGTAAAGTACAAAATGATTGCTTCTTACTGGGATGGAATTCTTATTCAAGCAGTGATTCAGGGACGTAGCCTCCTTCAAAGCATTTTTTTTTTTTGCCTTTATTAGCTTCCAAGTTTGCCATACTCATTTGCATCATGTTGGCTGAAGGGGAAGAAGCCTGCAAGAATACGCATGCGGTATTTTTGTGGGCCAAGCCAAAGAGTGGTGCATATCAATCATTCACCTTTATGTTCCATTGACTGGAGCTTGTTGAAATAAGTCCTATTATGGTAGAAATGTGGTCCAGTCCTGTGTCCATGAAGACGAGAAATAGATTTGGTAGAAAGTTCCAACCAATAGTACAGACATGAAAGTGAGGAAGACGTGATTCAGCCTGGCTGAAATCATAGGATGCCTGAAGTGGAACGTGGTAGGTGAGAGGCTAGTCATGAATGGTCTCTTATCTTAGGCTGACAGATCTCTGAAGATGACTGGTAGATGCTAAAGGATTTTAATCATGTAAAAACAAGATTAGAGAGAATACTTAGGAAGCTATACAACAGAGTAGGTAAGAAAAAATGACAAATTTTAATGAAGGCAGTGACAGAAGAGATTCACTCATGCCATCAGCAGTTAATTACTGAGTACAGTCTAAGTGTCATCTTGTTCTGGGTGTTGGATATATGACAAAGTAGGACTAATAATAATTGGACCAACTAGATATGAACGGTAAGAGAAAGTAAAGAACAGCCTGTGGGGGGAGCGTCTGAGGAGAGGCGTGAGGTGGGGGATTAATGAGGTCAGTGTCGAATCATTGAATTCGAGGTGCATTTCAACATTTCAGTGAATTTGCTCAGAAATTTAGCTGTAGCTCCTTAGAAAAAGTGAATACAGAGATAGTATTGCCCAGAAAGAGATTAAAGATCACGAGAGGAGAGGGCTTTCACATCACACGTTGTCAGAAAGTATGTATCATCTTTATTTTTGTTTTTATTTATTTGCTGTTGGAAAGGGGGAACATATTACTCTTTGAACTTAGTGAACATACTTCAACTTCCTCCTGACTTCTCAGATGTTCAGGTAGAAGGAATATGTGCCCATGCCTAGAAAGACAAAATAGTGGTGTTAGAGTCGAGAAGAAATCTAAAATTAACATCAGGTGAGCACATTTCTGTTTCGAAATGGCTGCAAATGGTGGGAGTTTATGCTTTACTTTCTTCACATTGTTCCTTCTGCCGGTTCTAACAGGGATTCAGAGGAGGGTCCCAGGCACTTAACTGTACTCAGCATAATGTTGTCCCCTTAAAAAACACTGTGTTCCTTTTTTTTTTTTTTTTGGTTCAACATTACTGTTTAATAGAAAAGTAGTCTTCACCCCTGTATGCTGCACGCGAATTACTGCTGAAAATGTAGTTTCATGAGACGATCAGTGTTAAGGGACTACAAGGCATAAGATTGCCTAGTTTTATTTTTGTGTTATCATTTCTGCAGTTTTAGGACTGGAGGTAGTAAGTGTGCTTCTCCTACTCCACCTTCCCGTGCCATCCCTGTCCCTTATTGCCTTGTTGATATTATGGCCACTGTGTAAATGAGGCACGATTTCATGATCGCCACCCACAACTGAGCCTAAAGCTGAGAACCCGCTGCTTCTCTCTACCCTCTGCCCTCCCAACCACATGTATCACAACCTGCTCGGAAGATGCATAAAAGAGAATTCTTTTCCTTCTTGGTTAATTTAGCTTATTGAATGACCCAAACTCATGGAAATTGTGGAGGGTTGGTATGTAAACATTGTAACGGGAACCATCTGGGTTCTTTCCCTGAGTTAGCAAAGGATCCTACTAAAACAAATAACAGCTATGAACCTAAAAGGGCCAGTGAGCATTTTTCTGTGTCTTAGAAAAAACGAGGTCCTCTATCCAAAAGAGCCACTTCACCAGTGTATGCCAGTTATTGTTAGGACAGAGTAAGATGATATGAATTGGTCTGTCCTGAGGAAGCCGTGTTTAGGTGTTGGTTCTGTGTAACACAGAAAAGAAAGAAACAGCACACCTTGTCTAGCCTTAGTTTTCTGGGCACAGCCAGAAAGCCACAGCCCTACTCCTCAATTCAGGGTATGGAGTGTGGCTTCTATGTGCCTGTGCTTGGTAGAAGTCTGTTAATCCTAAGACCTAATTTTAAATGAACCCTACCAATGGTAAATTTATCATCACTTCTAGAATTATTCAACAGATTTGCTCTTTAGATACTGAATAAGTCACTTTTCCCTGTTTATATGTTAGAAATTAAATCTTGTGAATTTTTATCAAACGTAGGTTGAATAACACTTGAGTTATTTTTCTAAAATGACCTCATTTACCAATCATATAAACTTAGTAATTTGGATCATATCATTGTTACCATTTTAACTTTCTGGTGTGAGAACTTAATTTAACAAAGTGCGATTGTTTAACTTTTAAAATAAGGAACTGTGATGGTCTAATACCTCTTTTCTTGTTTCAGGAATCATCCCAGTTATCTGGCCTCCCCGATTATGTTAAAATAGTAGAAGTTGGACCTAGGGATGGACTACAGAATGAAAAGGTAGTTTGGTGTTAGTGTTTACTATTTATTTCATATGTTAAATCTAAATATTAATATTAAGGTTCTAAAGACTTACATGTATTTCATATATTACATGGTTATGTTTGTTCTCAATTACTACTTAACTTTATAAATCTTAAACAGGATTTTCTTTCAGTTAGTAAGTAGTGTTCTATTTGTACTTGAGTAGACCCTATACAAATTACTTATAATTTTTAATGCTTTCATAGGTTATAGTTCCTACAGAAATAAAAATTGAATTTATCAATCAACTTTCCCAAACTGGCTTGTCTGTAATAGAAGTAACCAGCTTTGTGTCTTCCAGATGGGTACCACAGGTATGTAAGTCTTTAATTCCTTAACCAGATCCTCAGTTCAACTATGCTAAACTGTGTGATATGCATTATGATACTAATCTGATGTAATTATTTATTTGCTATGTTCTTACAAAATGTTAGCCCACACACTGAGATATGATTGAAGACAAACCCATTTGATGAAATATCTTAGGTCAACGAAATCCTAAAAAGTTATTTTGTGATTCCATCCTAAAACTATGTAAGTATATGGTCCAATATAATGAGTAGAGGATAAGGCTCTGCAGTGGCAACTTAGGGGCCTGCCCTCCATTTACCGTGGTACTGAGGTGACGAATGATTTTAATGTCTCCAGGTGTTAGGAGGACGTGGTGATGAGTGGCCTGATACCTTCCTCATGAATCCTGTGTTAAATAGTGAGACATGTAGATGTGCACTGTTCACATTTTTTAGTATTTGTATTTGCTAAAGGGTCAAATATATGTGTATATATATATATAGATATATGTAGATACATCTACATATCTCTCTCTCTCTCTCTCTATATATATATGTATATATATATATAAATATAAACACATATATATATATATATATGTTCCTCATCAAAGATAAGGCAAAGAGAGTATCTGGAATCGTCTCTTGAAAGAGGACAGAGTCTTACCCTGAGCTGACAGACACGTGGCAGCAGTCGTCACTTCTGAGACTGGGCCCTGGTCTTTGCAACATGATCCCCAGTTAGTGACCAGTACACGCTCCCCCTTCCCAGCCCAGGGCCCTTGTCGTTGCTCCGATCCCTCAGTCTCTCCCCAGCACTTAGCTTCGCTGATTCCGTTCTCATCCCATTCCTTTGGGTTCCAGTATTCTCCACAATCCTCCTTCAGTTGTTTCCCCAGTTGCTCTTTTTTGGTCATCCCTGATGTCATTTCACCACCACTAAGTTTCAGCTTTCCCTCGGATTCTGCTGTCAGTAATTTTCTCGGCCTGTGCGCTCTTCTTTGCTTATCCTTCCAGAGTCAACAATCACTCCGAAGGTGACGAGGCGTCTGTATTTCCGGTCCCACTCTCTCTCCTGAGCTAGGTGTGCCAGCAGCCCCTCCAGCTCCGTGGATTCAAAACCAAACTCATTCTTTTCCATCCGTCTCTTTGCCAGTAGCTCAGCGGTTTCCTTTGGAGTCACAGAGCCCTATCTGCACAGGCCTGTCTGCTATAGCCAGGCAGTTACTGACTCACAATCCTTCTGCCTTAATGGAACCTGTACTTGTCTCTTCTTTTCAGTCCCATTGATGGTTGAGTATCCACAACCTTTTTGACTAATTATCATCATACTACCTCCAAGTATATAAAGAAGCACTGTTTCTCTCTTCCTTAGATATTTTTTTCCATTATTCCTAAAATAATATCCCAGAAATATCAGCCTCCTCAAATTGAAATTCCAAGTTCTTCAAAGGTTCCCATCTCTCCATTGAAAAATTCTATAAAGTTTGGCCTAATATTCAAGGCCCTTTATACCTGGCCTCTCCTTTTCAGCCTTAACTCTGATTTCCAACTTCATTTTGTCAAAGCTTCCATCAAACCAAACTATTTCTTGTTCCTTGTTTACAGGTCCTGCCTCTGTGTCTACATAGCACAGTATCTGTACTTGTTCATGTACATGTCAGCAACTGCATTGCTCTGCAGTTATAACAGGACAATGTTAAACAGCTTAACACACTACAGCCTTTTTAACTGCAAGGCATTGGAAGCAGCAGAAGCCACAACGAGATGAATAATATTAGTAATATGTCTCTTTTTATAGACTCAGTTTTCAAATATCAGGGTTACTTATATTTATCATCAAAACAAACTAACTTTTCTTCATCCCATGTGTCACTGTTTAAAATCACACATATTCTTGTAATTATTTTCTAGCTATTGCTTCCTAGACTGTGAGAATTATGGAGGGTAGTGACTGGCTTTTGTTTATATTGTATCCCCAGTGCTGGTACCTAATAAGCATGTGCTCAATAAATATTTGTTAAGTGAATAATAAATCAATCAGGAACACATTACTTTGAATTCTTTGGTATGGACATGTGAATCTTACTTTCATTTGTGTGTTTGGTCCTGTGTAATGAAGGGCACAGATATTTTTCTTAAGGAGAAGTAAAAAGCTTGATGAGACTAGACATATTTCCTTGACATTATCTTTTTGTAAAATTCTAGCCATTATTATTTTACTAGCTGTCATTCATTTTAAGGGAACATGAGACCTTTTTATCATCTTCCAATCTTCATGAAATTGCCTCTGTGTTTGATTCAGTTAGTGCTTTTTTCACGTATTTGATTATTGTTGGAGAGAAACTGGATAATATAACTTTAGAGTAAAGGTTGGAAAGAGGACAGGTCTTGTTAATATTAACTGATAACCAAACAAAGTTATATTTCAGATATTTTACTAGTTTTCTTCAAGATAGGGTTATTTCCCAGTGATTGTGTAAAGCTGCCTACAAAATATTCTTCTTTACTACAGTGATGCTCAAGCTCACATTCTGTTACTACACAATATGGGAAACTGTTTGATAGATTATTCTTCAGACTGATGTAGAACACATCCTGTAACATTTACAAGGATGAAGCTGGAACTCTTTCTAGAGGGCCACACTCGTGCACAACTGGTTAAGAGAAAAGATGGATAAAACAAAAGGGAAGGCTATCCCTCTGTAGGCAGTAGTAGGAAAATGCCTTCTGGCCTTATATTAAATAGATACATGTGATGAGACCATAAAATAGTAAGATTTATTCTGGGCCTGATCCTGAGGTGAATTCAGGACTTAACCTATAGAGATTTAATGGTCACTTCCTAGGCTCAAAATATTATTGAATAGCTGACAGAATCCCCCAAACGGCTCTTGCGGACAGCAGTGGTGAGGTAGGCCTATCCCTGGTACCATGTTCCTGTTCACATTCTGCCTAGAGCTTTTGAGTAAGGGACTTAGCCTCTTTGAACCTTGGAAATCCCAGCAGCGCTGCCTGTAGCACGGGAGGGTCTAGGGCAGTGTGGCCCGTGAGTGGTTCCCTGTGTGTGAATGCCCAGAGTCCAGAGCTCCTGGCTCATGACCAGTGCTCAGGAGGGTGTAAGTGAATGCCCGACTGACGGATGGACTGACTGACTTACTCTGGTTTCTACACAGGTTAACTGCTTTCTCTTTGATAAACAGCCTTTTTCATAAAGATTAAAGTGTTTCATTTAAATACTAGATCAGGCCCAATCTGAACAATAAAAGATACTCATCTGCATATACTAAGGAATATGTTACATGTTTCACTTTTAATACTCACCTGGTTACGTGCATTCCAGACAACCCCCCCCGCCCGCCCACTGCAACCACAAAGTGTTTCCAATAAATCACGTATCTGTGCAAGATCAGTGTGCCTGAAGCAAAGACATCATCAGATTTGTCTTCCAAAGTTACAGTAGTCACTTACTACTCATTTTTTAAAGGGCAATATTGAGAAATACTATTTTTGCAGTTTGATTTTCCATAGTTGTGTTTGTGTTTTGGATTTCTCCGAGGTTGCCTGGGTAGAGAGCATTTTTTATTGTAGTTGGAGGTTGTCTCATGTAATTCTGCTGATTTTGTTGTTTTTATGCTAACAAAAAAAGGCCTTAGATCAGCAGAACTAATTTATGATGTTAATCTTTCTTTTGAAATCTCTCATTTTGAAGAAAACATGACATCAGACAAACCTTAAAATAATTTATGAGATTTGTGACAGAACGATTTTAGTACAACAGCTTACATGTAATTGTCTGAAGGAATTTCTGCTTTTCCTAAAGACAATGAATGTGGCTCCAAACTGGTATTCTGTTAAAATCTCTACGTCTTCTTCTATTTCTTTCCTTTAAACATAGGTCATGGGAATAGTACCTAGTTTATGTTTAGATTGCTGCTTGCTTACTTATTTCTTTTTTTAGCATTTTAAAGCATTTTTACAGTTTCCCTCCCACTGTTTTGTTTGGCAGCTGCTTTCTAAGGAAGCTAAAAGAACAGTTCCACAGTAGCAGGGTGCCGTATAAAACAGGATCCCCACACCTATAATCTAAATGGCCAGAGATGATAAAATGCCTGCCATTTAAAAAAAATACACATTCTTTACAACCTGTCTGGAAAAAGGGTTCCTTAGAGTGACATTTAATATAACAGCATTTGAAATGAGTCCAGACAGCCCCTCACTTCAATGGAATGAACAACAATAACAGCAGAAAAAAAAACATGTTTGTCCAAACAGTTTACTGCAACTTTGGAATGAGGCTTTTCGTCATGAACTATTTAAATCGTTATAAATACAGTAATTTTTAAAAGTGAACTAGAGTTTTATATTCATCTTCAGTTTAGCCGTTTGGTGTAAACATTGTCATTCATGTGAGTGATTGAAGTGAATATCACTTATTTAAAAATAAGACTATGTTAAACGTACACAATACTGTATGCATTTGTCATGCAAAGTCTCAGTTATAAATATTTGCTCTTTTAAACTGATTTTTAACTGTTAGAATGGGTGGGTCACAAGTCTTGATCAGTCAGCAAGGGCTAGAAAGAGATTTTCTCTATAAAAGTAGAAAGAAATATACATAAAAGAGAGTAACAACTGTTTACAGATCAATCTACCACTTAAACATATGGCCTAAGCACATTGTAAGCGAGAAGGAATGAGTAAACATTTCCCTACCCTCTTACTAGTGTGTGGTACAATTAATTCTTTATTGGTCATGAAAGCATTTACTGGATTGAAGTTTAAGATTTAGATTTACACTGATGAGATGCAGGAAGCTGTAGCGTCTGGTTCTCAGTCTGTTCTTCTCTTCCTGGCTGGGTTTTTTTCTGAGGGAGGATGGGCGTGTGGGGAAGAGGCAAGGGTGGGGGTAATTTAGGGGAGGTGTGGTAGTGCGTGTGTGTGTGTGTGGGAGAGAGTGAGAGTGTGTTCGTGAATGCACACCCACAGCCCCCAAATTACTTTGTGGCCGCAGTTAACTGGCA